GAACGGCTTTAAAACTTTGGATAAGGATGTGGTCTAGAGTTGGCCAAGGTGTTTGTCCCTTCAGTTTGCTGTAAAAATAATGGATCTCTTCTAACGTAAGAAATGCAGTACTTTCAGTGTTTTTATATGTGTGTGTGTGTGTGGGTATAAAACCCAGACCTACTGCACATGGTTGTTTCTTTCTGGTCTGAGCAGGTTTGTTTAAATGGAAGTAAGCATTTTGTGTGGCTTTGAGCCCCTCACTCAGTGAAGAAATTAGTTTTAAAGTAAAAATAGAAGAAAAAGCAGCAAACTTTTATAGATGGAAGAGGAGAAATTGTAAAGAGCTAAGTTGAATGCTTGAAGCAAGTCTTACTGCTTTGGTCAATTCAGTGAGTATTTTCCAAACATAGACTGTATTCTGAATTACTGAGGCCAGGCCTGCAAGTGTAAGCTATTTCAGATTACACAGACATGTAAACTGGCTTTGATTTGCTCCAGTGTCTCTGGGGGGCATTTTGCATCTGAGAAAAAGAGGGGTGGATTGCTTTTTTTTTCCTTTGTGCGTGTGTATAAATAAGATGTTTGAGGGTTCTTTTTAAAGAACTTAGTGAAACTTAACAGACTTGGTAAAACAGAGGTGTTTAGTGGGTTTACAAAGTAATACAGGAACCAGGAAAAGACTTCTGGTGGGACTCTTGCAAGTACATAAAAGGGAGGAATTTGCAAACCCTAAACCCCTCTGAAGTGTTTAACCATCATTTAGTAGCTAGCAAATGAAAACACAGGATGAGAGCTCTGTAGCTCCAGGCAGATGGGTATAGTAAGAAGTTCTCTCAATCCTTTGATACCCTGAGGTTCTTTGGTCAATAGGGATGGATGAGTAGATCCAAATTGTTGGCACTGAAGCTTCTTAAAACTTCGTTAATGATTTGTGTGGGTTACTTTAGATTTAGCTTGACACCTTGGGGTGAATGTCTCCACTTACCCCTGCAGTTTGAAGCTTCCTGAAGGAGGAAAATGTAATAATACATGCCAGATGACCCTGCTGTGAAGTTGCCCGTGGGTTTATTTGAAGTCTCATGTGGCTGATTGGCAGCAGGTTGCGTTTGAAGTGCATCTTGGAGCAGTGTTTTCAGGTTGTTTCAGAGTTGTTCTGAAAACCCAGCTAGCTCACAGTAACTGGTTTTGCTTCAAAACTGTGCTACTGCTCTAAAGGAAAGAGCATAGTTAAATAATGAGAGTATGCATAGCAAGAGGATGACTGGAAGAGAGGGGAAGATTTTAGTCCGAAGCTCTAGGAAGATATTTCTGCTCTCTTTGAAGGAAATACAGCTTTGAATTCCCAGATGTTGGCAGTGGTCAAGCTGCCTTTTTAGACTAATGAATAAAAGTATTATTTGAAGCACAAAATCTGAGCTAGATAACTAACAATTGTTCAAAGCTTAATAATATTAACACCATAGGGTGCACTGGGTGGCACATCATTTTACGAGTTCCACATGTTTAGTGACTACAGTAAATTGCTGTTGCTGCAATCCAAGGTGGTGATGAGAATTACGTTTCAAGGTCACAAGCAATGTGTATGTTAGCATTGCTGAGCTCTTGGTAGGCACATGGCTGAATAGCTCCGTGCCATTTATTGCTTTGCTTTAACTCATTTGTGTATTTAGGTTCAGAGAACCCAGAAATGGCTGACTGATGCGGAGGTTTCTTTGCTTTACCTGAGAACCTTCCAATCTCGTCTGATGTAAATGTGCCTGTCAGCTTTGAGCTGCTTTGCCAAGGTACTTAGAGCTGGGTAACTTTTTAAAGTGGAATGTAATGCTGGCTAACCACAACTCATATTTTACTTGGCTTTTGTAATCCAGGCAGCCACAGGTACACTGCAGTCGGTACCCAATGTATTTCTCGATTAAGTCTATGACACTGCAGTCATAGTTTTGACTGTTATGTAGGTGTACTGTTAGATGACAATGGTCTTTGGTTTGTATAGAACTTAAGGTCTTCATTTAGTAACCATGCAAACACTATTTTAAGCATTATATTGGGTTAGACCAAAATCTGGGTATCGTACAGAGGAGGTGTGCAGGAGCAAGTCTTTGTGCTTCTGTCATCACTTTTATAAAGTGCAAGGATTGAATGAGTGCCTGTAACAAACAGCTGGCAAATAAGGGGTTTTCCAGAGTAAAATGACCTGGTTAAGAATATGTACAGGTTAAACTTAAGGGAATTGTTCTCTTGCTACAACCAAAACATTTACGTTCAAACATTCCAAATTAAATATTTCTTTAAACTCAGGTCTGTTTATTGGCCCCAAACTGTCATTGTATTTAAACCGGTAGAAATGGTGCAATACAGTCACCAAGGCAGAAGCTGAATTATGTCATATTAGGTACAGGAGTTGAGTTATTTAAGTCCTGTATGTGGGCTGCTCTTGACATATACAGTAGAAAGAATGAAATGCATTAAATTTTCATGGAGAAAAGGCATAGTCTGGCTTCAGTCGTGTGTTTGTTTGGATGTCAGAAGGGGTAAATACAAACCACCGTAGTAACAATTTGTATCATCTGCTTATAAATGCTATATATGTAGGTGAGGCTGTTTTGGGAATCTGGTAAATACTGCTCAGCTTTAGTTTGTTTTGCTTGTCAGCACCAGAAATTCAGCTGAAATTTTAAAGGAAAAGTGTGCACCCCTGGATTATGTGCTGATATTTGCCATGCAAGAGGCTACGCAGACAGTGCTGCTGTAGATTTGGTGAAGGCTGAACAACATTTTCACACTGTGTGTCTGGAAACTAAGTAAGTCTGAAAGGAAGCAGGCATACGCGTTCATGCCTGCTTTCTTCCCTGCATTATAGAAGCTTTTAAGATAAAAGCACATTCTCTTCCTTAATCCAGAATTTGTCTTTCTCATGGAGATGTTACATGCGATTCTGCAGCAGAGCAGGCAGACTGTTGGAGCCTGTTTGTCTTTTCAGGCTGTGTTTGTTCCGTTTCCAGAATAAATGCCAACGATGAACCAGCTTGTGTGAAGGAAGAGCACTGATAACTTTGTTTCTGGATGTGTGTGTGGTGAATATTAAACTGGGTGAAGGCAGAGAGGTGAAAATCATCCATCACAAACTTCTAACGCAACGTGGAATGCTTTATTCTGGCCAAAACTATTTTTGGTGAGAACTGGGTGGGAGATGAAGTCATGAATGAGTAAAGGTGATCAGGTACATCAGATGGTGAATGGCAGCGCGTCCAGAAAAGTGACAAGATCTCAGATTCCCTAAACTCACTTGAATACTTTTACAGGCAGATCATGCTGTGGTTATCAGTGTTACTTCATTTGGTAATGTTATGTTGCTGGCTCCCTGTAGTTGCTAAGGCAGGGCACGGGGAAGAGGAGAGAGGAGGGGCAAGAAAAGCTGAAGAGTTCCCTTAATGCTTCCAGCCAGTGACTCCCAGATATGCTCTCATTCATAACAACGGACTTAACTAACAATTTCCCAAAACAAATGTGATTCACAGATGTGTGGTAGCAACTAGGACAAAATAGAGTTCTTTGAATCAGTCAGTCTGTGCATTTCCAGTGTGTTTTCTTGTTTATGGCGTAAGCTGTTCCTCTCCTCAATGCAGAGTGGAAAGCAAAGGTTTGAGTTTTGATTTCAACTTCATTGGAGCAACTGATTTCTCACATGAGTAACCTCCCTCTTGTGATTCCTGAAGAGCCACTTGAAAGGGGCCCATTTAAAAAATAATCAGTCCGAGTGACCCCATTGTTCTTTTCAGAATGTGCTGTGACAGCACAGGAATAATGGATGCTCTGCAGGGGAACCGGAAGATTTCCTGTTAAAGCACTGAAATGAAACCTCTTCCTGCAGCTGCCAGGGGAGAGGACCATTTGTATGAGAGTATGGTATCATAAATTTATTGTCTGATTTAATCTGTTCCTGTAGCTGTTATGAGCATTACTAAATGCAGGTTTTGAGCCTCTGACCAGGTTAAGTGATACCATGCTCAAATACAGATGGATAAAATGGAGAAGAACTGAATGAAGTGTCTTTTTGTGTATGAAGGTGTTAATATTGCCCATTTGTCTTCCAGCTGTGGTGGTGTGCTTTCAGTGGGAACGCATCCTTGTTGAGACCCTCTGGAAGGGGGAGGGAATGTTGCTTTTTTGTTCTTATGCCTGTGGTGAAAGGGAAAACCAGGTTGAGCAAAGGGCTGGTGATACAGCTTTGTTGCAAGGTTTCTCTTAAGCTTATTCCCAGAAGGCCTAGAATGCATAATCTGTGTTTTGACAGTTTAGAGACAGATGCTTGAGTCCTGCCACAAGTTTCTAAAAACACTGTTGTGCTTTGGCGAAGCAAGAATGTTATTTACTAGAAATGGCAGAAAATAAGATGGCAAAATTCTGAGTGTAACTTTAACAGCAAAACAAGATTATCTGGACATGTTCGTAGAGATTAAAGAGAGCCTTTTTAGTAGTATTTTCCAGACAACTTGCGTTGCTGGTTCTCAGTGAAGCACTGAACATGGTATGTTCTGTTGCTGCACATGCAGATTGAATTGCATCCACGCCTTCTGCTTGCAGACCAGTGCATTTGTGTCTTCTTGCTGCTGGCTTTCTGCTTTTCCCGTGTAATCTGGGTGTTCTTGTGTGGTCTGTTCTTCAGCTGCTGCTTATGCCTTGTAACTACTACATGTATAAAGCCTTTTGCTTGGCTGACATGAAAGTTAGTTGGTGAATGAGCCAAAGTGGATGGACTTGAGGGGTTGGCAAGTTGGGTCAGGCAACAGTACTCATGTTTAATCAGCCACCGGTCTATAATATGGTACCAAGGAATAATTCCTACTTGACTGTGCAAGTGCAAAGATAGGCAGCTGCTCTGTGAAGAGGGTTTGGCATTTAGCATTTGCTGAATTTGTTAGGTTAAACTAATGTTTAAGGAGGAGAAAATGAGGTATTCTGATTTATGCTCTTTGGAATGACTTGAACTAACCATTTGTTTCTTTTGTGTTTCACAGACTTCTCGAAGCCAGCTGTAGTGAAGAGCAAGAGCTGTGTTCCTGCCAGCCAGACCCAGTCTCCAGTGCTGGTCCCCCTGATGGCACTTTGTCCAAGCCTGTGAAACCTGCCAAGCTGGACGCCACAGCTTTGCACGACTGCACTTTGGCCGCCACTGTGCCTCCTTCGGAGCTGTCGAGTGATGCGGTCCCAGCCTGTGACACAGGCATTCACGAAGAGCACTATGTGAGTGAAGCAGTGGAAGATGATCTGCCAGACTGCAGAGAGTACAGAGATGCCTGCACCATTACTGGTAAGCAGTCAAGTCTTTTATCTTGGGTCTTACCTGTTCTTAAGCTGTTGGTGAGGTGTCTGGTTCATGGACATGCTGCTGCTGGTCTGCGTGTGTTCTTCTTGTTTAAGAAGTGATTTCACAAGGACCTGGGTTTTCAGTGGAAGCACTTTGTGAGGGTTAAGGCTCTTGTAAATAGGCTAGACCAATGACAGTTGTGAAATGAGGATATGAGACTGATGTGCTTGGGAAGCTGAACCATTTGAAGTTTATTTGGAAAATAAACCAACTGAAAGTCAGGGATGATGGGAAGGAAATACCACAGCTTAAAATTATGGAATGGTTGTCCTAATAGTCAACATAATTTAGATTTTTATCTTGATGTGAGAATTGCTCTGTGGGAGAAGGAGATGGGAGAAATAGTGTCTAACATCGTATTTTGACTGTACATAACCATTCCATATTTTCACATGAGTTTTGGAACGATAAAAGTTAATGTATGAGGAACAGCTTCTTCTGCGTGTTTGTATGAAAGGTTAAATGATGAAAAGTCAAATGCCCTTTTGTCATGGATTCATACACATAAATAGAATGTGTTTTACGATATTTTAAATGGTATTTTTAACAGAATTAGGTTCTCAGTGGTGTGGTCAGCTGACCCAGTTTTTTTGTGTTTGAATAATGACTAACTCAGTTTGGTCATGGGTACGTCCATGAAATGACAGGCAGTTTCCAAATGCATGGTTTGTTGGCTGAGCTGCACGGTTTCTTTTAGCTTAAAGTGACCTTGTCAGCCTGACCTCTTTTGGGAATGTTTGAGGAGTCAACCGAGTTTTCAGGAGGGGAGAAATGAGAGAGCTGAGAAGAACAGAGGTAAGACTGGGGCCGTTCTAGCTGGCTGCCAGATCCACTTACCCTGAGTTACTTGCAGTCATTTCTAGAATTGTCTGTAGGTCAGAGAACCAGTTCATGGTGACAGTCAACAGATATTTTTGTAGTACGCCTTAACTTAGCTCAGCCCAGCTGCTGTATAGTTGCTAAGGGCTGAGATACTGAAAAAAAACAAAGAAGGGGAGAGATGCTCTGCAAGTCCATTGTGATTCCCTAGAGGCGACAAGCAGCAGGATTAACACTGAAGTCCCTTTCAGTTAGGTATGCTTGTACATAAAATACTTGTTTTATGAACAGAAACTTACGCCTTCTCCCTTGTATTCAGGGGTTTAGAGCTCTTTAACTGGTTAGTTTATAAACAGGTCACTCTCTTGATTGTCACGACTGCTTGGTGGGGAGACTAGAAACTCTACATATTATTACATAGATGCATTCCTGGCAGCATAAGTCTGTTTTCCAGGCCCCTTGGAGAAGGATCTTTCTTGCAAGTTGTTCTACGGGTTCTGCCTCATCTCCCCTCCTCTGTTAATAGAAAAACATTAACTTCATGTTTTCCTGTTTCTAAATACAAGGCCAGACATCGAGCTTCTTTCATGAGTCAAGATGCCTTCTTGATTCTGGTTCCTTGAAAGGCAAGATAAGCTCTTCCTTTCTGAATTTTTAAAAGTAGCTTTTGTTAAATGGAGGTCAGTGCATGTTTTCCTACTTCACACTTTTTCAAGCCTGATGTAGCTTCTGCATGTTCTTCTTTTTGGTTGTCAGCCAAGTGTGGTTTACTGATTGAGCCTATATTGCATTTTGATGGATCAGCTGTTCTGCAGTAGCAGATTTCTACTGTTCATGACCTGGAGACTGGATAAGACTTGCAGTAGAAATAGTGGTGGGTGTTTTGGTTGGTTAGTTATGGGATTTGGGTGGTTGTTTTTTTTCCTGTTATAAATTCATTTTTATGAGTTTCAGGTCTTTTGCTGTGCTTTCTTTGCTGTGCAGTTTTTGCTTTGGTATCAAAGGGCATAGAATGGGAGTTAGGATTTGGTCTCATACTTTATCTGTATAATCGCTACTTTATCAGCAGTACATGCTGGTATGCAACCTATACCCTTGAAACCAGCAGAAAGAAATACTTCTGGAGGGATAAGGATTTTTAGAGGCTTTAACACGAAGATTTTCTGTAGGTCTGACCTACAGGTTAATATTATTTACACTTTTAAACTGTTTAGTGGGAAATAAATGCTCATACCAGGTCTGCATATGCCATCATTCTTCTGATGCCAAGACTTGACTCATCCTAGAGCAGGCATGTTCGAATTCAGCAATAGGGATAATCTAGTTTAATCTAGTTTCTTTGAAGGCTAACAATTACAGCCTCTTATACAGGTTATCTGCAAAAATTCTTTCAAATAAAGGCTTAAACACAGTGAAGAAAAACCTAGGAAACTGAGCAGCGGTGCTGTTTTGTGGGGATGCTTTCTGACACACAACCAGCCAGTGGTAATGGGAGTTGACTGAAGCCTAAGAACAAGCTAGGATTTATGAAGGGACTCTTCATCAGGGACTGCAGTGGTAGCACATGGGGGTGATGGGTTCAAACTCAAACAGGAAGTTGTATGTATAAAAGAAGAAATTCTTCCCTGTGAGGGTGCTGAGGCGCTGGCACAGGCTGCCCAGAGAAGCTGTGGCTGCCCCATCCCTGGCAGTGTTCAAGGCCAGGTTGAACACAGGGGCTTGGAGCAAGCTGCCCTAGGGGAAGGTGTCCCTGCCCATGGCAGGGGGGGTGGAACTGGATGAGCTTTAAGGTCTTTTCCAACCCAAACCAGTCTGGGATTCGATGTGGCACATTTTGCTATTGAACTTTCCAAGAAGGCCACCAATGCTCAAGGAATTTTCAATTCTTGGTGCTTGTTTCCCCCTCCCTCCCCTCCATCCCTGGCCTGCTGCCATTGCTGGCAGTAGAGAGAGGCACTTTGGCACTGTCAGCAGCACGATCTTTCCTGTCTGGAATCTTAAGAGCAGCAGTAACGTAGCTGAAGGTGCATTGCGCATTCTGATTGTGCTAAGCATGTTTTCGTGGATATAGGGTTGGCTTAAACATTTCCTGTCCCCAGACCACCTCAGAATGTGTTTGCAGATTTCTGTGGGAGTGCAAGTTGGAGGTATTTTAGGCAACTGGTCTGGATAGAATCCTTGTTCCACTTTGGTGGCAAAGGGGAGATGAGGGTAACTTTCTAAGCTAGGTCACATCTCAGATCTGTTCTACTGCATGGTCTAAAAGCAGTTACATTGGCATAACTCAGGGAATGAGCACTGCAGGGGTGCACCTATGTGACAGAAAACAGTGGAGAGCTTCCTTAAGCTGGTGTTATCTCTGAGCGCAGATACAGCAACCTAAAGACAACTTCTTTCCCAGTCAGTCTGATGGTAAAGTGGCTTGAAACACATAGTCGCTAAACTGAAGCGTTGCATGAGGAGAAGCTCTGAATCTCTGCTAAATTGAGCGTACAAGGGCAAATGAATAGCACAACTGATCCATTTCAAAAGTTGTGAACAGTTTGAGACTTACTATATGGAAAATAAGTGCTACCACTGGATCATGTATTTTCTGAGTACTAGTAGTAGAACTACACCTGAAAAAGGATTCAATAGCTGCTGTAGTAGGGTGGTTTTTTTGTTGTTGTTATTTCTTCATTTTGGTTTTTATTAGCAAGATTTAAGAGAAAATTTCAGTGTAGTCTGACTTAAGAGTTTCTACTCTGAGGAGCTATCACTTGTGGAGCTCCTACAGGTACGTGGGCAGAAGGACACTCGAGGCCCAAGGCTGGTAGACAGTGGGCAGCACTGTATGCATGGAAGTGGCACTTTTCTACTACATGTGTGCGGCACCTATCTTCTCCTGGTTGTTTTTTCCTTTGAGCTTTTCTTGCTGCTATCATTCCCTGGATCATAGAGGCACAAATACGGATGTGGCACCATCTAGTGTTCCTTTTGCTAGGAAGAGGATCAAGGAGCGTGTGTCTGTCCTGATTCCAGTCAGGTGTTGATGGAAGCGGCAACTGAAGCTGGGGGCTTCCTTGTCTAACACTCACATCCCATTTTTGGTAAAGCAGGAAGGGCTGCAGTCTTGACATGAAAAAGCAGAGCATCACTCACTAAGTTGCTCAAGTCCCAGTTCGGTGAGTTATAGAATCCTCTTCATCCGATTGCCTTTCTTGTCCATCAGCTGCAGTCAGACAAATCCTGTCCCTCCTAGGAATGGAGTGTACAGTAGGATGGAAGTCTGAGATACCACTGGAGTATAGCTTTACTCTTGTGACAGATGTCTGGCTGCCAGAGTGGTTTTGTGCTTGGGGTTTTTCTCCTTTCCTTTTTTGTTTCTCTTCAATATGCGTAACAGTATCATTAGCCATCTTCATTAAGTTCCAGTCTTCTTTCTCATGTCAGGAGACTGGCTATATGCAGTGATTTTGGCATGATACACTTTGCAGTTCAAGAGCTAACTGCTTAGTATGCCATGCAGGCTTCCTTCATCCTTCTCTGAAAAAGCAGGAAATGAATGGGCTGATTTAAATTGCCCAGCCTCTTCATTGGTTTGGGTGATTTGTTTGTTCCTTATCCTAATTACTCTTTCGGAATGCACGTAGGGGTGTGCTCTCTGGCTGTAGGGGTGTGCTCTCTGCCTGTTCTGAGCAATTTCCTTAGGGTTCTTGGGAAATTCTTTGTGGTGATAACCTGTTCTGGGTCCTGGTGTTAATAACATGTTAATTTTTTTAGTTTGGAGAAGGCTCGGGGGGACTTTATCACTCCCTACAACTGCCTGACAGGAGGTTGTAGTGAGGTGGGGTCGGTCTCTGCTCCCAAGGAACAAGGGACAGGACAAGAGGAAACGGCCTCAAGCTGCACCAGGGCAGGTTTAGATGGAGCTGAGGAACAATTCCTTCCCCAGAGGGTGCTCAGGCATTGGACCAGGCTGCCCAGGGCAGGGCTGCAGTCACCGTCCCCGCAAGTGTTCACACAGCGTGGAGACGAGGCCTCAGTGCCATGGGTTAGTGGTGGCCTTGGCAGTGCTGGGAACAGTTGGACTGGATGAGCTTAAAGGGCTTTCCCAATCAGGTTGATTCAGTGATTCTATTTTG